GCGCATTTGTACATCGTTTCTCAAAACATTTTCTCTCCATTTAAACCCCCGAGTGAATATCTTCTATAAAAATGAATGGAATAGCAGAGAAGTTAGCCGGGGGGTGGGGTAGAGGGTGGGGGTGGGGGGCAGGGAGAGAGCCCAAAGACAGCAGAGGAAGAGGTAAAGGAGACCCCGGAGGCATCTGCTCTGTCCAGAATGTTCTTTGGTTTGAGCTGGAAGCCCTTCTCAGGGCTCCGTCTGAATTGTCCTCTCATTTAACCTTCGTCTCTTTGACGTGAAAGCAGCTTGTGGGCGAGTTGATGTGAAGAATAACCAGCTCACGACATCAGATGGTGTCCTCTGCTGTTTGAACTTGACCTGCCCAAAGGGAATCAATGCCCAGCTATGCTGCATGCTAGCTAGAAGATTGTCAGTAATTCAGCTCTCCTTCCTTTCTCCCTTCCTTCTGCTCTCTCCCACGCATGGTCTTTCTTTTTTTTATTGATTGTTTTTATTGGGAGCATTTACGAATATTATAACAATCCATAATTCAATTAGATCAAGCACAACTGTACAATTGCTACCACCATCAGTTTCAAAACATTTTCTTTCTTTAACTTGTAGAGATAATATCTCATAAGGTTGTGATAGTTGAAGAGATAATATAATGTGACAATCCATGAACTGATTAAAAAAAAAAAAGATTGGGTAAAGGCCAGTAGTTTCCCTTCTGAGGTAAAAAGAACATATTTAGAACACCGAGAACAGAAAGAAGTGCGTGCGCGCGTGCACACGCACGATTTTATCTTTTTGTGTAAAACCAGGAAGATAGCATTTCCAAGAGAACATAAAAAAATGTAGCATCTGAAAAGTGGCATCATAATTAATTCAAGGGGAGGTGCTGCTGAGGTTGCCTATGCACAACAAAATACCACTTGGGATTTGATTCCTTGGTCTGGAGACTTAGGATCATGGGTTCATGGGACATTCCTGTTAATTTGTTAACATGTTTAGTGTTTCTGTGTTGCTTCCTAGTTTTGTACAGAGTGCTTGGGTCGTAAAAGTGGAAAGTGGCCATTCAATACACAACAATTGGCCTCTGCCTACTGAAACACCAGAGGAAGGAGAGTCAGGAAGAGGATGAGTCTGTGGAGGTTTGGCTAACTGCTTCCATGAACAGCTGTGGTTGGAAGGTGTGCCAGCCCCCCACCACTAATTACGGGTTCAGTAAGCACAAGTGTACAGTTGAGATATATAAATATATTTTATAAATATATATTTATATAAGTGTATTTATATAAATATATTAAAGTCATCGAGAGCATGAGAGATAGAAGAGAGATTGGAATGATGGTAGCATTCATGGTAGCATGCTCACCTCCTGGATGGCCATGATCTTACCAGCCAGTTCCGTGCATGGCGTGGGCCAATGCTAGGTGGGGCAGGGACCCGGCAGGATGCTCGAGGACCCCGTTTATTGCTCACCAAGGGTTATATCTACTTCGGGGGGTATGATTTCAGGTAACCACACATCACAGGAAGGGGCAGTACAATAGGAATACACATTATAGGAAGGGGATGTACAATGGGCATAGGCGTAACAGGAAGGGGATGAGCTAGGGCTGTACACATGATAGGAAGGGGAAGAACTAGAGGTATACATGAGACAAGAAGGGTGGACCCTAGATTTAGGATGGCAGCCTAACCTTGGTCACCCTTAGGTGGGCTTGACCTCTCTGGGGTCTCCTACAAGGAAACAGACAACTACTGTCCTTATCAGAAGGGAGTGGGCCCTACTTGTAGGATAAACAGTGGTGACTGCTTGCTCTAGATGGCTGATAGCTCTTAGGGAGAATAACCCCTGATCTACTTCTGATGACCTCCAAGTGTATAGTCATTCGCAAGCAGCTAAGTTTAGCATATATTTGGGGGAGACAACTTGGGAGAAATCTTTCTGTTTCCCACAAACAGCGGCCTCCTTTGCCAAAAGACCAGAACTAGATGGTGCCCAGCAACCATTCCTGAACACTGTGATCAAAGATTCCATACAAGAATCCTGATCAAAGAAGGGGGATGTAGTACAGCATTTCAAATTTTCATGAACTCTAGACTTTCTGGATGTAGAAAGTGTATGAACCCCAGAAACGAGTGCCCTGAGATAAAAATCTTAAGACCTTAAATTAACAATGTCCCTTAAAGTCTTCTTAAAACAGAGCAATAGTTTAGCTCAACTAGTAAAAAAGGTCTACTTTAACCATTGTGCTTTTTAAAGAACGCTCTATATAGGAGCAAAAGGAGTCCCAGTGGCATATTGGGCTCTATATTGAGCTTCTAATTGCGAAGTCAGTGGTTTAAACCCACCAGTCATCTAGCAAGCAAAAGATGAGCCTTTTGTTCCTGTAAAGATACAAAGTCTCAAAAATCCAAAGGGGCATATGGAATCTATCCTATAGGGTCAGTGTGAGTTGGAGTTGATTCCATGACAGTTAGTTTGGTTTAGTTTTTGCTATAGAGAATAAAATTTACAACAGTAATTTGAGAGATAGGAATTTAGGGGACAGTGAACTTAAGTTACTAAGGCAGTGACAACTCAAACAGTGGTTGAATATGAGACTGTTTGCATGATTCAAAGAATGAAATTAATGTCACTAAATTGTACATGTTGAAGCTGTTGAATGATTGTGCATTTTGCCATTTGTATTCTCAATAACAACGAAATAAATAAATTTAATGAAAAAAATTTCTTCATGGGAACGATAGAGAAGTTACAAAAAGAGAAGAAATATTTTGTCAAAGATAATCCAAATGATTCAAATTTATGTTTTATTTAGAATAGCATACCGATTAGTGTTATGGAGCCTATAATATCTTTGGTGGAATTCCCTGATAATAATGAGCATTTGACAGAAGTGGATGTTTCCAAATCTCACTATAAAGGAGCAAAGATGTTAAAATTATTACCTGTCTTGTCATAAAAATCCCTAAGTAAAAGGTAAAATGGTGGGGGGGAAATCCAGTTTGTTTTCAATGCCTGTCTGGTAAATTTTACTTATTTCTTCTTTTCTGACTATTTTAAAATATAAGTAACCCCCCCCACACACACTAAATACTTGTATTCTTGCATGTCCACTAATGTATATGTATATTCATCAGGAGGGCCCTGGACACGATGGTTTGTCACGGGGGCTGGCACAATGGGCTCTGGCAGAGGAACAGTTGTGAGGCTGACACGGCACAAGCAGTGCTTCGTTCTGCTGTGCACGGGGTTGTTATGGGCTGGAACCGATTTGATGACACTTCACGACAACACATGTTCAAACGGGCACAGCTGTGCTGTGTTATAGAAAATGATGCTAACAGTTTCAGGTCTTTGCCACTTATTCCTTGCTACACGCACACACACACACACACACACACACACACACACACACACACACACACACACTAGTGGCCCTGTATTTCTAAACTAACTTTAAGCAGCATTCATTCTTGCACCTAATCACTATGTAGTCATGCAACAAATAGTCACTGTGTGCTTTCTATGTGCAACACACTCGCTTTTCAGCTACAAAGCGTCTCACCTGTGATGTTACAGCTAGACCCATCACTCGTCAACTTTCAACGATACTTCTGTTTCCTTGATTTCTCTTTCTTTTCTTACCTTTTCCCTGTCTCGCATAGATATTTTCTTATGACTATTAAGTATACCTTCTACCAAACCACCTATCAGGAAAGAATTTTCCTTCATCCAAGTTGTTCTCCAAGACACACGACTCACACTGTGTCTTATCCTTCATTGATTCCAATGTATCCATTTTCTTTTTAACTTAGTATCTCTGGAGTGAGAATGTAGCTCACAAGGGACCTTAGAGTTGTTTCATAAAGAAGCCCTGATGGCCCGGTGGTGAAAAAGATCAGCTGCTAACTGGACAGGTCCACGTTTTGAGGCTCAGCAGTTCCCCCACAGGAGAAAGGTGGGGCGGTCATTCCAGAAAAGTTTATAGTGGAGCAAAGTCAGTGGTTCACTCTCCTGGGAGGTCACTCCGTGTCAGGATCGACTCATAGAGACAGCCATTTAGTTTTGAGGATGGTTTTACAGCTTAATGGACAAGTGAGAACACAAGAGTCATGGACTACTTATCTACAATGAGGGGACTGGATTTCTAATTTGATCTCTAAAAGGGCTTGCTTTATTGACAGGCATAACTTAACTCATTTCTTCCAGGTAGCAGTTCACCCAGGTTAATTTCTAAGTTTTCTCTGAAGTGTCCCTATACTTTCTGTGTCCCCAGTACTAGGGACTCTCTCAGGTCACACGTATTTACCAGAAGAATCGCAGGGTTGACAAGGAGGGTCAGAGGCTTTAACCCCAGGCCCCCTAAGTTCTTGACGCCTGAGGCATTTGTGAGTATGTCTCCTGCTCCCCATTCCCATGATGTAAGGAACATTCAGTGCGGATACTGATCACTCTTTCTAAATAGAAGCACTCCTGGAACTACCAAGTGTATGGTTTAATGCTTGCTGAGGAGAAACTTTGCTTGGTACAAGTTCATTAACCCACCTTGGCCACAGGTAACTGAGCTGCCTTTTAAAAGCAGGTTCAATTTAAGTGGCCTATTCTAGAAATCAAATTAGATTCCACTGTCTCCAGCACTCTCTGGGTCCTGTCCCTCCCCCCGCTATAAGTGACCCGTCTGGTCTTTGTTTTCAGGTGCTGAGCACGGTGTTGGCCATGCTCGTGGTGTCTGGCACCTACGACAGTCTGCTGCGGAAGCAAGGGCTGCCTCTTGCCAACCAGATGGTTAGCTGGGCGATCCTAGGTGAGCTGTCACACCCACGAGACGATTTGCCATCATGCATTCTCAAGGTGGTGATATTGGTTCTTGGAGGTGGGGGCAGTGAACTTGACTGTCCATTTTCATGTGTAAAAGCACTGATACCAGAGCCTGTGCCACACGTAAACACACAGACAGCCCCTGTGCTGACGATGGCTTGGCTGTTAGAGGGCTCTCTCTTACTCTGTACCTGGAAGATCTCGTGACCATGCAGATGCACCCTCTTCTGAGGGTACCATTACCCTAACTCTATTCGTCCATGACGTTTTGGGAGTCCCCTGCACATAATTCGTATTATCTTCAACCCTGCAATGATTTGACTTCTGAATTATACATATACATACACACACACACACACACACTGGGTCAATTCATTAGCTGTAACCTAACTTTTAGGATGCTGACCAGGAATAATGATGAAGCATCACCTTGGTGTTGCAGTTCAGCTCTCGGGGCTGCTAACCAGGAGGTCAGCGCTTCGAACCCTCCGCCGATCCACAGGAGAAAGTCCTGACCACCTGCTTCCATAGACACAAGTGGAGTTCTATTCTGTCCTATGAGGCCTGACCAGCCAGATTAGACTCTACAGCCCCCAGCAACAATAGTAACAATGAA